ATTGTTGGAGAGTCTGCCGGTGAAAAATTCTTCTTATGAAAACGTTAGAGGCGATCGATAAAAATGAAACATTTTCTATAAATCTCTTAGATGCAGACAATTTCATTCATAGAGCTTGGCAAAAAGTTAGCCGAAAAACCATTGCAAATTGCTTTAAGCATGGGGGATTTATAAGAAAAGAAAATGATTATGAACGAGACGATGAAATTCCACTTAACGAATGGTTAGAAAAGTATAAAGACTCTGACTACGAGTATGACACAGACGAAGATGTCTTAATGTTGTCGAAGAACAAGTTAAAACCAAATTGAGTGATTTCGATTTCTTCGAATATGTGAGCATTGATAATGGCATTCTTACAAGAGAAATGTTGATCGATGAGCAAATTATAGACTCCGTAACCTCATCTACAGCTTTAAGCGATAATGAGAAAGATGACGATTTAGGTGAAACGTATTCTACTGTAGACACTAATGCTGTTCCAACCATTTCTAAAATGACAAAAAAGTGTCGAATTTTCTACAATCACGCCAAGTTCCTAATCATATCTGGGAGTCCTTTTGTGATCCTCAAAACTACATAAATAACATCTATTTTTGCAGAAATGTACAAACAAAAATTACAGACTTTATAAAGTATATAGTCTTTATATAGTCTTTATATCATACTCAAAAAGAGACCATTCAATACATTATTTTTATCTTTTAGTGAACGTCTCAAAAGCACAGTTAGCCAAGTCATGCAACGCCTCAAACCAACCAAGATCAGATAGCTCAGAGCAGAGATGAAATAGCGCAAATCTGAGCAAGCAGCAAGTATTTGTTAGCACTATAGCTTACTGCTGGAACGTTGATCACAGTTATCAGACGGAATCATTTTCGGTAAATTTCAAGCCGAAACAGCAGCCCAAAGTCAGTGATGGTTTAGGCACATGTTAGCCTGTTTGGGCAGCTTTGGCAATGCCAGTTTGCGAGAAGTCGTCAAAGTGAGGTTAAAAGGGACACCGAAGTGTCCCACGCGAATTGCACGGCGTGCTGCATTACACTGGCGCCTTTTGTCCTCGGTCCTATCGATTTTCCCCGAAAGGAAAACTCGCGGGAAAACGCACAGTTTAAGCCACTGTGTAATTATCCGGATTGCGATCTGGATTACAAGTAAACAGCCATTCAAACTGAACTGACCTCACGCAACATGTTCAGGGGGTGTAAATTATGAAACATTGCGGGCCAGAGTGTACAAGGTGTCCAACGCGCATACAAAGGGATATTTTTCCCAATCACCCTGTATATGGCACGGGCACGCGAGTTCAACAGTCCGGACTCCCCCTGATGGCTAAAATTATAACTACAAGTTAAGTGGTAAATTGACACTTGTTTTGTTGACGTCGGTGTCACATTGGTGTTTACATCTGGTTGTGATTCGTTTTGGTCTAATCAACTTTTGCAAGCTTGTAAAGAAATAGAAACAGATCGAAAAGTAATGTAAAAATAATAATAAATGTCATCAAGTCTAATAAAGAAACAAGTCTGACAAGTCTCAACTGTCACTCGACAACGAGTAATTTGACGTTTCGCAGCGCCACGTTCGGTAGTTGAACTCGCGCATGGTGTAAATCTACGTAACTAAATCAAGGTGTCATTTACATGCTGCCAAGGGAGACAGATGAGTGTCATTTGTGACAGAAAACACCGGTCTTTTCTAGTGGGAATCTTCATAGGAATTCCCACTAAATGCGAACAGTAATCCACCCAGGGAGGTTCGCAAATGACAGTTATATACACAGTTATCCAGATAATCACCATTATAACGCTAAATGCAACAGTCGCACAACGTGCGAAAATTCTTCAATAAAGTGACTAAAATAAATGGCATCCACCATTCTGTCCACGATTCTTAACCAAAAAAATACATCGTCATTTTGTCCAGAATATTCAATTCATTTTTAACTGGAGACGTTGAATAAATTAAAACAAGTGTGCGGTTGCAAATAAATGAGCAACGATCTGGGGTTTTGGAAAAGCTCACGCACATTAACCACAAGTAAAGCAATGCCTGTTTAAATACACATCCGTTGCTCACTTGCATGGACAAGGTAAACACAATCGCTCTCTGGTAATGAAGTGTAATTGCAAAGCCCATTAACACCCAACAACAGGTCGGAATAATCGGGCGGAAAAATGAATTCTATTTGAGCAACAAATGAGAACGGTTGTCGTCATCTTTTCTATACGAGAAGTTCCGTTATTCCCGTTTATTTTCCTCCTAGTGCCTATTGAAAGCTTGACCAAAGAAAACGCTGGTATATACGCTAAAACCCGGTTGTTTATATGGTTTTTTCCTATGTTTTTATGAGTTATTTGTTCGCATTTTATATCGCCACTTGCTAACCCAATTTGGCCCGAATAAATGTTTGCCTCCTCTACGTGGCGGGTAAACAAAAACATCGATTGTTGTGCCATAAAACCGACAGTAAACATTTGATTAAACCAGATTTTGTAAAAAGGAAATTTCGAATAAAATTCAGCGCTCAGCAGGAAATCAACAGCGCCTATTTTCTAGCTGCTGATGAGCCGATTGGAACAGGAAAGGCCTGGCACCCATCACGTCCTCCACTTCCTTTTGCAGCGCCATTATGATATATCAAAGGCAATTTTGTCGCTTATAAAGGCAGACCAAATTTGTCCATCGCGGCGAGTACGGCCGATTTATATGCAAACAGACGGACCACAATGGTCGCCCATTAAGTTTCCAAATGTTGGTCACGTAGCTGCCCATTTCCTCTGGCAGCAACGAAGATGTGCGAAGCATTGATTGTAGAAAACAATGTGGAGTGCCGATGAACACGCCGCTTGAATGCTAAGTGGCCGATGGTGACCGATCAGTGCCTGTTCCAAAGAATGTGGTCACTAGTGCTGATTCAAATAGAAATTATTCAACTTTTTCTCTTTTACAATCTTAACAATGTTTATAGTTAACATTTCAGCAGCCTAGGAATAGCGATTTTCGTGTTTTAGATCGTCGTCGATAGGAATTTAATCCTGACGTTTCGCTAGCACGGATTAAATTCCTATCGACGACGATCTAAAACACGAAAATCAACAGTTTTTGTTCAAAAATTCTCCCTTGCCAAAATTCGGGGTGTTTAAATACGGTGAAAAGCACGGAAGCAATCAATGATTTCAGTTTTCCATTTAGATCTTTCAGTGTTATTTAGCCCTAAATACTGGCAGTTCATAAAGTTCCAAAGAACGGTACTTTTGCGATAGCAGGAAACATCAAGCAATAGCAGGAAACTACAAGAAATTGTAGTTATCAAAGTTAAAAACCCCCCAAGTTGAGGAAGTTAAGCCGCAAAGTCGAAAAACATTCAGTTACACACACGAGAACCACCCAGTATGGGCATAATTTGAATAAGTTGGGTGAAATATCGAATCTTTACAAAATGCGCGACTTTTCATCAGTTAAACCTCCTTAATGTTCCGCAAAATCTCCAATTTGAATCCCATTTTAGTTAACTAAAAATGCCGCATCGAACAGCAAAGCGTCCAAAGCGCGTTGTTACTTATTTTATATTAAGCGCAAAAAAACGCGAAAACAAACGCTCGTTCGAATATTGAACCCGACAGTAAATTAGACACAAAAAATGAAGAAATCTCCACATAAAAGTGATGGAAAACACTGGAATATTCCGCTCATTCCCTATGGAGAACAGCGCCTCGCGTCCGCACAAAAATTCTCCATCCATGATAAAACCTGGAAAAAATCAGCAAAATCGTCGAACCAAGCCCAACATCGCCTAAACTTCATCAAGAGAAACCCCTGAACAATGACGCATAATCTCCAGTTCCTAATCGCATCCAAGAAATGCCACAATAGGAAATTCCGCTGATAAAATCTGGATTAATCCAATGACTAGTCAGCAGACTGATAACGAGCCAGTTTCTGGCTACTTGCTTTGTTTCCATCACCCAGTATAGCCAAGACGAAACACACGCAACGAGTGTGGGTGGGGACAGTTTGAACAGTACGTGAGATTGGTTCCAAGGCGGTACCGTACAGGTACCAGGTGAGCACGTGCTTTGGAGGAAGTGATGCAGTGGCCGTTGGAAGTAGTGAAAAGGGTCGAAAGTCGCAACTTCAGTGCGTACCGCGCCTCGCTACCAGCAGGTTGGAAGTCGAAGTGACCACGTTTTGTGCTTAAGGATTCGGCCTTACCATTGGGTGAGTCTGATTGATTTCAATTTGCAGATATTTCCCAGAAAAAAAGCGTCGCTCTTCACCGATTCAAATTTGTCTTTTCTTGAAGCGCGGTTAAACTGCAGGTAAGTCAACGAGTTAGATTCAACTACCAGACAGTGATATCTTAGATGGACTACAAACTTTGCTGGAAAAAATTGAGGTTGACCACTGAAAACCCCAGCAAAAACGTGGATCACCTCCTCAGTTCATAAAACACCCCCAACTTAGCTTGTGTGAGTTCAGTCATCACATCCTACAGTTCGCTTCACGAAATTGTGTGCCGTTTCAGTTTAAAACGGTTTTAAAAAGGTTCTAACAAGCGCACAGGTTGATGGAATAGCGGCCCCGATGAGGTGCTAAATAGAGGCGCAGATTAGAAAGGCTGAGCAGGCAAGATGTCGGCATAGCTGAATGTATTTGATTTTCGGCTGTGTCTCATCAAGCCACCTTACACCTTTCATGTTCTACACGGCCCGATCAGAAGTGATGTGAGTGACACACACTGTAAAATTCCATTAACACCTCATGAATGTTAATTTAATTTTCACCATTTTGCAGAACTACTTAGCAATTTTAATGCTCAGTCGCGGGCTGCCGAAATCTTATAACTCTAAATTAAGTTGTGGCGACATAATCGGGGTACCACCCATGCACACACGCTACATTGGAATTGTCGTAATCATCATAATAACAACAGCGGAATATTTATCACAAGTTTATTTCAGTCCTAACTTACGGATAGCCCCCTATCCGTACATAACAATTGGACAAGAAGAACTTTCTAGAATGGTAACAAGGGTTCAACGAAACCTAGCTAAAGTGAAAATCGCTCTAGGTTTCTAGTAGAAGCTAAACAGTTTCCAAAGAGAACTCTAAAGGTCTCCCAACCCCTGAACAACTGATTGGGCGGCTTAATTATTTGCAGGGTGTTTCGTAACTACTACAGCCTAGTTCAACTAATTGGGATTTTAGTGGAGGCATTACGGAACACGTAACCAAAACTCCCCGATTACATTGCAAAATACTACAACAGTTTCGCAAATACCCAAGAAACACCCTTAATATCAGCATGGAAATTTTTTAAACAGTTTCAACGGCGGCAAGAAAGTAGCCTAGAAGCGTTAAGGAGAAGGAAAAAGGCACATCTACCAAGGAACTAAGCAGGAGAGTACGAAGTTTGCTAAAATTTATTAAATTCATGTTTAAAGTTCAGCTTGAAGTTGAACGCTTTGGTCTTCAGGCAATTTTCCAACTAAGCAAACACTACGGCATTCATTACTTCAACGACGTTTGAACCGAAAAATACTTCGTTTTCCTTCAAACATTTGTCTATCACAGATGAGAAAGCAACATTTCAGAATACAGAACAGAACACAATTATAATTTTGGGAAGACCATTCGATTTGCGTCTTTTGCTAAACAATTAATAAGCAACAGAAAATCAAATCAAATATTTGGAAAGTAAACATTAACAGTCTTGCGATAAACAGCCAAAATACAATTGAATGCGTTAAAGTAATAAATAGTTATATATACCTAGACTATTATGTACAATTCTAGGGCCTCGCCGTCTTCAACCAATAACAGATAAGTATCACATTGAATTTTTCGCCCCCGATAGCTTTTACCGAATGATCCAAGACTCGTAGGTGGCTGTCCAAAAGTTGACGGCCGTCCAGTCGGGGAACTGATCAACCAACTGTTTTAAGTCTTCGGATGCTTTCCCTTCACCAAATAGATAGTGGGAGGTGACGGCAAAGTCCATCACAGCTTCATGGTGATCAGGAGGAATCTGAAGCACATAAAAATACATAGCCTGACTAGTTGTCCTTTTTTGGTCCTGGTTACCTGGAAGTCTATCCAGAACTGGAAAGGAACGGGCTCCAACCCATGGGCGTAGTAAATAAAATAAGTATTTCTGCCATTCCACAAGGGCCCAGGCAGTGGCTCGGGAGTAGGGATACTCCAGCGGCTAATCTCAACGCCCTTCATGGGCGACAGCAGCACCCCAATATGCGCCGGGCCTAAAACACCCCATTTTGACCCATTTCTTCCCTACTTCCCACTCAACTTACCGCTAACCGTAAAGCTGAACCGCTCGCCACCCTCAATGGGAGTTCGCGCGGTTATCGTCATATTAACGGGCTTGAGGAGCACCGGTTGAGGCCCTGGAACCCAATGAGTCTTCCATATCATAGTGAGAACCGGCACCAGGTAGGGCAGGCCGCAGTACAAATAATCCCTGCATTCTTTGTCGACCAATTGGGCGTCACGGATGGCTGGTACATGGCTGTCCACCGTGTGAGGACTGTTGATGTCCATGTCCACCAGCCAGTATCCGCTGGAGACATTCGTGGTGGCCAAGGACGGCCCATGGAAGGTCCGCTGAGTGTGCTGGAACCCGATCAAATGCCCCCAACCGCTCAGGATGATATATTTTCACACTTACCGCGATCATAAACCTTTGAGGTGCCAAAAGCCCGGAACTGTGCGAATAGGGGAACCCAAGGGGGGTAAGCAGCAGTACGGCCAGCGACATCAGAAAAATTGCCGTTAAGAAGCTGAAGATGCGATCCACTTTCCGAACCAGGAGGATGAGCGGAGTAACGAAGCAGAAAAGTTTGCCGAAGAGCAAGCTCATCATTGCCGCCATCAGGTATTCGGCGTGGCTGCCTAAAAAATAACGACATATTGAAGAAGGCAAACGAACTTAGTAGACGGAAACTTACCGGCGCCCGCTCGACCCATTATGGGAATGAACAAATACAAAGCGCCGATCATCAGGTAGAAATCCTGCACAAACGGCAGTCCCACGGTGAAAATGTGCAGAAAGATCCAGTTTCTGCCTGCAAAATTCACATATCATCTCCAAACTTACTCTTCGCTTAGTGACTTACTGCGCCACTGTCCAAACAAGTGCGATTTCAACAGGTTTCCGATCGAGGCAAAAACAACCCACGTAAGGGCAATGAAGCTAGAGCGAATTCTCAAGGGAATCCCCACTAGAAGCACAATGGTCCACAGCAGCTGGTACGCATCGTAGTACAGCTGGAAAACTGTCCAGGGGAACATGGCTATTTCCTGCAAAAAACATCAGTCATCAGCGCAATTCGATAGACTATCAACCTAACATACCTTAGTGAAGTGGTTCGCATGCATTAAAATGGCAACCAAGGAAATCACAAGCGTGGGTATCACATAGATGAAGAAGGCCCAGAAGGGCCGCGCATACCAGCTCATGGTACGGCCGAGCCCCATCAAGCAGGCGGCCGTACCCAGCGCGAACAGCATGCAAAGAAGCAGCGACAATACGATCAACCCGATGATATTGCCCAGTTTCTTGATGTACGTTCTTTTGCTGACACCTAAGGAAAAACGAATTAGTACTAAAAAACTGTTTGGCTGCGGCTAAACTTACCGGTGTATTTGCGGGCTTCTTCAGCATTGGAGTAAATGCAATAAAGCGACACTATCACAGACAGAGCGTTGATGAGATCCGATACCGGCATAGTCCAGCGGATTACAAAAGCGCCCAAAAAGTCGAAAAACACTAAATTGCCAGGGCGGTATTGTTCGACATTGGAAAGCTGATGGCCTTGCGCCATCCCCTTGGCCAGAGCCAGGATGTTGTCGCCAGTTCTTTGCAATGAACCCAAAGGCACGTTGTCGATTGAATCGAATTTCGTGTGGTAAACGTAGCCGTTAGACGACCAGGCAAAATCCAGCCCTGGATTTAACACAAACGTTTCACCGGTAAGATTCTTAAAAGGGAAAAGCAAATCAATTAGTCCTCACCCGAAATGTTTCCAAAATCCCTAAATATCCTGTAGTCCGTGTCGCCAGGTATAACGCCGCTTTGGAATATTTCCTGAGCGAGCGAAGACGCATAGGGATAAGGCACTTCCTCCGAGTAGGTCTCTAAAATCCAGGGATGGTTGGGGCCGGCCTGAAACAGCACTTCCCTGCCGCCTGCGCCGCAGGCCTCCAAGTTTATAAAGGCTCGAACCTGCAAAAGTCGCTCAATTTTCGTTGTTTTTTGCTTGAATGGCGTCTCACCTCTTTGGCCCATTTGTGCTGGGTGATAAACCCGTGAGAGGCCGGCAGGAAGTTCTCCTCGCCGCCATTCAGCAAAAAGATGATGTTGTGCCGGAGAATTTTGTCAGAGTGAACTAGGGCTCTTAAGATTTCCAGCATCACTGCACATCCAGCCCCGTCATCACTAGCCCCTAGAATTAATGGAACGTTGAAAAACTCTGCCCGTTTCAAATATCCGGGCCTACCTGGGCTGTCCAACACGGTATCAAAGTGGCAGTTAATCAGCAAACTGTGTGGGGAGTTGATCTTGGAGCCAACTTTCACCACAATGTTCTGCACGTCCTGGTAGACGTTGGTCATGCCATCGAGAAAAGCCAAGTTAAAGGCCCCGGACGCCTTTTGCACATCCATTTCCACTACATGATTGGGATGGGCAGTCGCTAAAATCCCCTCAATCTCTTTGGTGATCACTTGAACAGCCAACACTTCGTTTTCGTAACTACCCGCAGTGCGGGGGCCTGAAAAAGGCAGTTCTTCAGCCTCTGGCTAAGATGGATGTGCAATTCCTACCGATTTGGGTGAGATTTTTCAATATATTATAGGCGCGTTCCGCAATGAAACCGTTAGGATGCAGATGCTCCTCCGCTATGGTCACGCCTTTGGGCAGTTGCTTCTCGATGTAGATGACCAGGGAAAACGTCACCAATATCAGCCCCAAGATGGCCATAAAGTGCCCGGAGGGCATCGGCTTGTGGAACTTCGACTCATCATCATCGGAGTATCTTTGGGAGCTCGATTTTTGCGCAGTGAATCTGTTTCTTAAAGTGTCCATTGCCTGAAAACTACTGCCTGTTATTAAGGATCGTTTGCAAGCTTGCTAATGACTTAAAACGTAAATATTTATGCTCAATATGCCAAATATTTATCAATTACTAGTACAAGTACAGCATCCAAATATTAGCAGTTTCAAGCACCCAGAGCGCACTAGTTGCTTAATTTGACCATTGCGCTATCGCGTTTGGTGAAAAATAACAATTTCCCAATGCCAGTCAAATAATAAATAAATTGTTATGCCAATAAAGCACAAAACGTTGCTCGCAAAAAAATGTCGATGGACAATAAGTGAAAATTCATGCAATCAACTGAAAGCCCAACCTTACCTTTAAGATGATGGTTTACACCACTCAATGGGGGTGAAATGTGGAATGGCAAGCTTCACAGAACTAGCAAAATTATGCACAAAGCGAGCCAAGGCCTTGTTTCAACAATAAAACAGGCAATTAATCACATTTGCTGCTTTGTTCGTACAACATCCATAAACAAACACACTAAGCACTTGGTCCTAATTAGGCGACAATCAATTAAGTGAACTTACCCTCAATCCAAACACCAGGCCTTCGCTGTAACTGTTCACTAGAAAATCACCGCGTAGTGAGGACAGAACACGGATTTGGGGCTCATTTTACAATCAGTTGAATGGGCCGATTCAATCGCCAAACACTGGTGACCAATAGCAGGTTTCACTGATAAATTCAAGTGTTTTTTGGGAGATTATTCGGCTAATCACCGCTCCACTGCAGTACTTTGTCCTGCTCGAAATTCCTGCTACACTTGCGCATATTGCAAGCTGCTTCCCAGGGGGTTATTGTTTGACACTGTCTGACATCTTAACCTAAGATCGAAGGATCAACTCAGCTGGTTGTTGATTGTTTACCTGTTTATGGCCGGTTGGTATGGAAACGGCGCGTACCAGGGGCACTTCACCGCAACAGTCGGTAAATACGAGTGATACGAGGGAGTAGCAATAAGAAGTACATTCTTTTTGCTGGACTGCTTGGAATGTTGTTTATTTATTTGGGCTTAACTGTGAGAGTTAATGTTAATGACAGTGTTTATGCAAAAAATTGGATAACGTTTTGAAACGGTTTGACTAACGCTGATGTTTTTCAGCATTAAATGCATTTTTCTTTAAAGTGTGCCATTCTGACAATCTTAAAACTCTGTAGGGCAAACAAATGAAGAAAACGAACAGCAGATAAATATAAAAATTATATTACATACTTCCTATCATTAAATGGAACCATCGTAGCTAGTTCCAGAGAGTCATAAATTAAAAAAGTGCCACAAAATCGAATTCATTTTCACTAAAGTAGCCTCTGTTTCCCTCTATGGGCTGGATAGTTGGGTCCGATTTCCGATCAACAGGGCCAAAACATCGGATCCTTCCTTCATTTCAAATGAACTAATCAACACATTGATGGCCATTATCACAATGTTGATGCACATAATGGTGTTGTTTGCCTTATTTGCATTGGGACAGTGATCTTCTTTGTTGATGTTCAATGTGGAACCGAGCAGCACGCACAGGCACGCTTGTGCAATCTTTGAGAAGAAAAAATAAATAAAACCAAAAACAAAATCCGATAAAACTTTGGCGTTTCATCTTTCTGCAAGTTCTAATGAGGTAGGGAGGAGTTTACGGGCAGGGCGGGGTCGAGGCCAAAGTTCATTTTGATTATATCACAGAACAAGGCGCCTGTAACAAATCCCAGCGCGATTTGGTTTAGAATGGGAATGATGACGTCGATTTGGGTGCTGTCGTAGCTTTTGAGAATGCCGATTAAAACGGACAGCAAACCGGCAGTCACCTGCAGAAAGATAAAAAACCATCAGCCAGCTTTTATCTAATCTTATTGGCCGTTTCCGGCTGCGTTATGAGCCGCAGCGGCTGATTGGAGTACTCCAAACCAAAGCCGGAAATGATAACGTTGATGACGGAAATGAGAAAAATGAAAATCAGTATGGAATCATTCAGAACGATGGCTGCCCGGTGGTTTTGGCTCTTGTTTATGTTCAGCCCGCCGATTATCACAAAAAGTATCGCCACAATCAACTGAAAAAAAATGCCACACATCACAACAAAGCAAATAGTGGCAAAGAGTGTAAAGAGCAAATCAAGCAAATGAGGCTCTCCCTTCCTCCCTACACTCCCAGAGAGGACACATCAGGAGGCTCAAAGATCGCGTATCGAGCCACCGTGGGGTCAAAACAGGAAACGATCAAATTCAATGCGGTAATAACAAACGAAAACACGGTAGTGGTGTAGTTGAGATAGAAAGCCATGGAATGGTAGCTCTTGAGGTGCAGCCTGCAATCTGAGAGCAGGTGGAGGCTGAGGCATAAAATGCCGATCAGGACCTTTAAAAAAATGCCTCCAATCCGGGCTTCTTTGACAATCGGTAACTACCAACCTGCAGAACAATGGAGAGGCTAATCAGGCTCAACATCAGCGAGTAGAATTCGTGCTTTTCTCCCACCTGAAGAACGTACTTCAACTGGGAGGCATTCGCTGTTAGAAGGGCCACATCCAGCAGGCCTTGGGCGATGGTTTTCTTTGTGGCGTATTTGTTAACATCCAAGGATTTCTGGAAATCGAAAAACCCATTAGCAGAAGATTTTTGGCAGTTTGCACGAACCAGTCAGTGCGTTTCGCACCTGAAGAACTGAAACCACAGCCACCGCTGCAACGGCAATGACGTTCCCATCAGTTTCGATTTCTGGAACTTCCACATCTTTTTCACTCGCAGCCATAATGAAGCACACAAATACATGAAAAAACCTCCACTGATGGAAACAAAAGTGTTTCAGAGACTAAACAAGGAATTAGATAAGATAATTTCGCAGTCTCTTTAATGCCAACTGCAAACTGAAGTGGCCTGGATCCGGATAAGGCGATGATGGATGATCACTTTGTCCTTTGCAGTGCCCAGTTATCTCTAAAGATTGCAATGCAGTTTATAAATTGAAGACTTTGCCGGTGATTTACCAATCACGAAAGCATGTTGCAACATGACGGAGGAGACAATGGCCGGAAGGAACAGGCGTGGTGTTGGGCAACTCGCCGGCAGATTTCTACATGAAAAACATCAACAAAATCCGCGATTGTTATAACAATTTTATCGCATTTGGTCACAAAGAGATCAGTCACGCAATGAGTCACATACGTTGTTCAGATCCAGGTCAATCAATGCCATAGATAGAGGACAAAGCATTTCATCCATATATGAGTGGAGGACTTTGACCAAGGTGGAAAATTTTAAATTGATCACTCTGTATACAGGGGGAGCAAAAATTACATCAAAACTCTTATCAAAGCAATTGTTGTTGTTAGTCAATTTTGCGGAAAAAACTACTTACTTCTGCAGCTCGATTGACCGGCGACACCGACATGTTCTTGAAACAATCTAGACTCATATGCACACAGCCCAAACCAGCCCACTAGATCAGCCGCAATTGATCTTGTTCTCACTGAAATTGTTATAAATTAATGAGTTTTAGCGCAAAGGCCGCTGTTAAGCCAATTAATGGGAAGGCAAAACCCCGGCCAATATCGATGTAGCAATTCAAAGAATCTCACAATCAATTGCAGCCCCACCAATGGCGTTCGCGCTTTCAATACAAACACACCGACAATTGTTTCCTACACTTATACAGGGTGGGGAAGTTGGGAAAATTTTATTTAGAAAAAACTGAACAGGCAGCCATTGGTAGGATTTGCTGAGTTTTTCGGGGTTTGAAGCCGTGTAGGGAATGAATGGTTTTCAAACGTTTCGATGGCACGAGTGGCTCGCGTCTCCAGAGGTGGCTGAGCCGATCAAACCACAAACATCTTTGTACGGTATTGGAGGAGCGAATAAACCATTGAATATTGCTAGTAAAGTAGGGATGACGCGAAATACTTGTCACAGATATTTTGGAACAGATATCGATATGGAACAGTCGGTAACTGTTACCGATATTTAAAATAACATGTGATTTGAAATAACAGGGCTCGCCTACGATGCTGCTCAGTACCAGTCAACATCTGGGATTTCGATATTTCGACAAAGCAAAAAGGCAAATACCCGCCTTTATACCCTTTGATTCCCCGCGGCGTTGTCAATTGGCCTGAGTTTTAGGGAAAGGAGATATTTTATTCTCGTGAAGCGGTAAGGTTTTGTATGTATGGGAGTGGGACGTGCACCATGATTCGGCAAATAGCAATATTCAATGAACAAAAAATATCGGGAACAGCAGTAACAG